CTTCTGGAAAGGCCCCCCCCCCAGCAACTTCTCTCCCCAAAAAAGCTTTCTCTTCCCCCAAAAAAGCCACCTCACCCCCCACGCCAAAATGTGGCTTGTCACCCAAAAAAGCAGTTTTTCCCCCCCAAAAGCGATCACTTCTCTGAAGAATGACACCTCCTCCTGAAAAGTGACTTCTCCCCCGCAAAAAGTTACTTTTCTCCCCCAAACTTCTCCAAGGAGCTACTTTTCCCCCAAAAAGCAAGTTCTCTCCAAAAAGTAGCTGCTCTCCAAGAGTGGCTTCTCCCCCCCCAAACTCACTTTTGTCCCCAAAGAGTGACTTCCCTGTCAAAAAAGTGACTTTTCTCCCCAAAAAGCAACTTTTCTCCCCCTAAAAGTGACTCTTGTCCCCAAAAAGTGACTTATCTTCCCCCAAAAGTGGCTTTTGTCCCTCAAAAGTGACTTTTCCTCCCCCAAAAGTAACTTCCCCCTCAAAAAAGTGACTTTTCTCCCCAAAAAGCAACTTTTCTCCCCCTAAAAGTGACTCTTGTCCCCAAAAAGTGACTTATCTTCCCCCAAAAGTGGCTTTTGTCCCTCAAAAGTGACTTTTCTCCCCAAAAAGCAACTTTTGTCCCCCAAAAGGGACTCTTCTCCCCAAAAAGCAACTCCCCAAAAAGACTTTTTTCCCCCAAAAGTGACTCGTCCCCAAAAAGTGACTTCTCTTCCCCTAAAAGTAACTTCTCCCCAAAAAGTGACTTTTATCCTCCAAAAGAAACTTTTCTCTCGCAATAAAGTGCCTTTTGTCCCCCAAAACTGACTTTTCTCCCCCCAAAACCGACTTTTGTCACCCCAAAAGTGGCTTCTCTTCCCCAAAGGCAACTTGTCTCCTCCAAAACCCAACTTTCCTCCCCTAAAAGTGACTTACCTCCCTAAAAAACAACTTTTCTCCTCCAAAAACAGTGACTTCTCTGCCCAGAAAGCATCTTTACCCCCCAAAAGTAACTTTTTGCTCCCCCAAACAACTTTTATCCTCCCCGAACCCGACTTCTCTCCCTCAAAAAGCGACTTTCCCCCCTCAAAACCCGCTTCCCCCTCCCGACTCTCT